TCGATAGTTGTAGCAATCGCCTGGATTGCGCGAATGGTTGTGGGCTCGAGTCCAATTTTATGTACTCGGGACCGTAGTTATTTTCTATAAGAATTGAGAATGGAAAAATGTAATAATTCATCTTTTAGCCCACTCAAATAAGCACAAAAATAGATATTCATATTATCTGCATGTTTTTTGGCGCCCTAAAAGTTATCTTAACGGTCTTATTAAAATCACTGCAGTAATTTTAATGTATATTAAAAAATCGTTGATCATTTGCAACATTTTTTGTAAAAATCATTCTTTATCGTTTCTCATTCTGGGCTATTTTTGTTAAAAATTTCATACAATATTAATAAATACTTTGATCAACTTTATTTTAAGAATATCAAAATCAGTTTTTTTACTTAAGTATAACATCAGAATAATATAGATTCGTAAATATTGTGATTTCCAATCAATGACAGTCACATGACAATTCTATTTGTATGTTGACTGTGAGATTTTGACTAATCTATACATAGTATAAAACAAAGTCCCATCCCACTGTCTAGACGCTCAGATCTCTTAAATGATACAGCGGATTATAATAGATAGAGTGATATATGAGAGGTTTATATGTATAACACTGAACCACGCAGTGGAAAGCTAGTACACGATCAATAAAATTAAACACAAATAAAACAAAAACATTAAATAGTAAATTAACAATTTGTCTACGTTATTGGCTAAAAACATGATTACTATGCTCTTATCACATGAGTCTGACGATGATAATATCTAATTAAAGTTTTATAAAGCTCTTCTAAAAGTTAAGACGTCTGAGTATAAGCAATTTTCAGTAAACACCTAAACAACTGCTATGTAAACAACTCGATAGGTGATGATAACTAATTTGCGTGTGGTATCAAAATACTATGCTATTATTGTAATTATATTAACAAAGCCTTTCAAATCGCATCTGTTTGTCTGTCTGAATGTAGGAAACTCTAAAACTACCGATCGAACTATCTATGATGTGTTCATCAAACATTATTTTATGAGTAAGGTTTTGATGTATATTTAAGGTGTTAAAAATTTTACGATGCTTGTTGAGAAAATCAAAATAAATTTGTAAAAAATAAAGTACGGTATAGAATTGATCACAACCTTATTAATCCAGTAAATTTAAATTGCGTTACAGGAAATTTAATAATCACTATTACAACACAGCTAAGATGTTCCTTTTACGAGTATATGTAGATATATAATTAATTACACATCAAGAACTCTGAAAGAAGGAGTTATCACTCATACGACGACCCACCGTTGCAAAAATATAAAAGACTCTTTTGTACTTGTTATTGTTTAAAAGTTTAACATAACAATAGTAGGTATATTACAAACGAAGGTGGGCTTATCTCTATATATAATAGTCGGTGTTGTTGTTATAACTGTTACCGCTTTATATATATACTTCACGTTCATTTCACTTGAACATATTTTAGGTTATACACTTGCGATTATCAAATATGTGGCATAAATATTTTTATTGCATTGGTTGTTTTAATAAATCCAAGACATTACAGATTGAAAATGATCTTGGAAAAGCGTTAACGGGCAGACAACCAAACGACCATATTCTTTTGGAATACGGAACCATAAAAATATAAGTCTGATTAACTAGTCCATAAAACCACTTTTATGGATTGTTAAGAATTGCGATTGATTGAAACGGTCTCATATTTTTCTCCAACAGACTTCAAAATCAAATGAATAAGGATATATTCCTCTGAATGAAGTTCCCTTATAGTGGTTGTAAAACCATCACTATAGTTGGCAATAATCAGCAGTATATTTTGGTTGAAAAATAAAAAATAAGGTACAGTTAATCAATCAAACAAATTGCGCCATATTGTACAGAATCTAACAATTCATCAACTTTATTGGTTAGACTCCCATTAGTGACATAGATTTCAATACAATTATTTTTTCATTAAGAATATTTTACAGTATCGCATTGTGAATGCACAATTTATTAAATATGATAATTAATACTAATTTTCATCTTTATCGAAAGTTTAAATATTTGTAAAAATATATATATCGGCTGTTTAGATGGATTAGCATAATATTGATGAAAATATGCACTGTAGTAGCGAAAAAGTAACAAGTTCTTGAAAAATTCATAAGTCCTATTAGGACCTGGGTAGCTTAGTGGTAAGGTCATAGGTTCAAGTCTCATCTTAGAGTACCAATGATAAAATGGATATTCAAAGCAATTTTCAATAAGAACATTTTTCAGTATAGCATTGTGAATGAAAAATTGATTAAAGAATATAATTAAATATCAATTCTTGAAAAATCACAATACTTAATTTTTAATTGCTATTTATTTGGAATTTATTTTTTTAGTCACATTATGCTACTATGGTAAATAATATTATAATTAAGTTATTATGTTATATCTCCACCATTGCGAGATAAGATTCAAAAATACAGCCAACAAAACGGTGATTCAGTTTTGTTTATCAAGTTTTTTCCACAATATGTGTGTAATTTCAATGAATGATCCGTTGTAATAAAATAGAAGCAATGTTATGGGTCAACACTGGGTTTAAGGCATTTCAAACTGCAGTCTCTACGGCTACAGCAACAAGAGTGCTTAGCCGAAAAACCAGATAGCAGGCTGGCGAAATGATTTGTAAATTGTGCCGATTCAGCGATTGCGAGCACTCTGTTTATTGGGAACTGAATAAACTTCGAAAACAAAAGTGCATTAAATAAAAACATTTAAACACTGAAATTATCACCTTTTTTATCACAAAACTTACCGCATATGACAAACATACGATAAGAAACAAAACCCATGCTTGCACAAATACTTAACCGTCTTGAATAAAAAAATATATGTAAAAGGCGTCAATTGCTTCTCATCTCACACAAGTCATAAAAGTCAACTGAGGAAATTGGTTTTATATTGCTTTTTATGCAGGTGACAGGCTGGTGGCTCGTACGCGTTATACGCTACCAGCAGAGCTATTCCGTAAAAATGCAAACACGAATTCAAATTCACTCAGATGACTGAACTCACTACGAAAACAAATCAACCTAACATTTCGTGGCATAAGTGAGGAGGCTGACTAAATGACATAGATATTCCTTCTATGGATAGTTTTATTTTGTTATGTGTAAAAAAAAAAACAGAATCACAAGAATATTACGTGCCCAAACAGCTATGATGCCAATGACATGCAATGAAATTAAGAAAATACTAAATCTCTCCAATCTTAGTTCAATCGATTCACGCTGCGATCGACAGTAAGGCGCCAGCGCCGTTTTCGAATTATACAGAATGTGAAATTTGTATCTCACTCGGATTCAGCTTCCTATATTCGAAATGTGTTTACAGAATCGCACGCTTGTGTTTAGATCCACAAGTGACAAAGATCAATTTCGCTATTCTGTAAAAAATATAATATCGTAAAGAGTCAACCAAAGAAATCTTCATTATCTTTTAGAGTCGATATTATTTTATTGAATCTCTTAGAATAGCAAAGTAGTTCTTATTATGTTTTACATATTATCTTAAGCGTGACATAATTTGTATTAAATTATATCTAAAATTCTGCTTAACATTTTAGTGTGAAATGTGCTTATATTGCTATACGAAATAACTTCTATTTAAAATAACTCAAGTTTCGCAAGAAAATTCCAGCTTATTTTTTTTTTCAATCTTTCATCTTTTATATTAGATCCGATATTCTTAAATGTTACGTAAAGGTCATCTCATTAAAAATTCCCTTTTATAATTTTCTCTTGAGTTGTTAATTTGTTGAATTAATTTAATAAAATCTTTAGTTAAGCATAATCTTCAATAGGAAGCTTTTAGATGATTTTAATGTATTAAATGTATATTAGAATATATATTAGCCGCTGTCGAATGGTGAACTACTGTAAATACATTTCATATCATATTATTAAAATATAATTGCATAATTAAATATTATTACGAAAATTCAGTGCTTTTTGGCACTTAGATGAAGGTTATAGGGCTTGTTTTTCTCTATTTTATAAGCTTCGTAGCTATTTTGATCAAGATTAATTCACTACTAATATATTTATATTATAAGTATAAGTTCAAATTTGTTAACCAATCCAATAATCTAAACTATACTTAGCTTTCAATCGGGATTGGATACAAAGCAGAAATAAAAAATAGGTCTTTTCTTCCCTGTTTTATTCTATAAAGAGGTCTTACTTCTCGCAATCCAACTCCACTAAACGACTTCAAAAAAGGGTGGCTCAATATAAAATTAGAGAATGGTAACAAACCATAAATTTTCACGCTGAATCCGTAGCGGACGAAAGTTCCGATTTTCATTTCATTCTTTGCATTTTAAAAATTCCATTTTACGCTCGCCCGGATATTTTGATTCGAATGTTAGCGTTAACAACGATGTAGATCGTATCTAGATGGTGTTTCTTTGAATAAAAATGTCGGTTTAAATTCTGAAAATTATTCGTTCTCTTTTCATTAACTCAAAGATAAGTATTACAATTATAAAACACTCGTAATATGGGCGTGCCTTAAGGGTTAAGTATTGGCTCCAGTTTCTTATTTGTTATATTTAGTATATGTACATATTTTTAACCTACTAACATATTGACATATTGTAAGTAATTTAGATGATTAAAGATCTTTGACTGTTTAAATAACCTAAAGTGTAATGAATAATTTTTTTTAGCACTCCATATTCTCTGTCAAAAATAAAAAATACCAGTGAAAGAATTACTTCGATACTTCAATTAGTTTTCGATTTAGAAGTAAAACAAGTTGTAACCGCACAACGCAGGCTGCCGGTGACGGTGTGACGTCATTGCACAACACGCACAGTCTGGCTCACTCAGTTCGCTCGCGGTCTCGCGCCCGTGCCGTCGAAATTATACCTAAATACTATTAAGAATGTCCAATCCAAATACTAGGAAATCATGTGTTGTGCCTAAATGTAAAAATACAACTACTAATTCGCCGGAAAAGTTGTTTTTTATAGTTCCTAAGGACGTTAAAATGCGAAAAAATGGATAAAAGCTATGAAAAGATTAGATCCGTTTGGAGATAAGAGTACAGTTTATTGTTGTGAAGACCATTTCGACGTAAGTATAGTGATCATATTCTATATAGGTACATAAGTAATAATAATTATTTTCATCTTATAATGAACAAGACATTAGTATTATACTATTTTGTAGTTTACATTCATTTAATACCTATAAATATAAAATCTGGTCAGAGGTGTACAACCTTCGGTGTCAGAACTTTCCGTTATATTTTTACATAGTATTATATATTATAATATCTTGAGAACAATGCAGCTGTTTTGCGTTTTCTATACAAGTTTTAATCTATACTAGATTGTCCCTATTGCTTTGCTCACGTAGGCTAAGTGTAGATGGCTAATAAGATTTTTTCTTGTTTTAGATTGAGGATGATATGGAGAACTATACTAAATATAAGTTGGTCGGGGGAAGAATTAAACTAAAACTGGGTATAGTTCCACACAAATTCAAATCAACGGGAAAAGGAAGATAAACCTCAGAGATCTGCAGTGCAAAAACGTAATCGTATAGAATATTTTGAGAAATTATTAAATAAAGATGAAACTTCGACGTTAGAAAAACCTGAAGAGATATTTGTTACTAACTGTGAAGATGAAATAATAATAGAAGATCCATTAAGTTTTGGCAATAATGATTATTGTTTAGAAATATCAAAAAAAAGTAAAGGAGTGCAAGTAAACCTGCAAGTTATGAGTGTCCATAAATCAACCATGACTGTTAACAAATATTTAAAAAAAAAGAGGAAAGTAAAATTTTTGCCAGATGCAGTATCATTTAATAGTATGAACGACACATCTTCAAACGCCTCTTCACATGAAATGTTTAACCTTGATCAAGAATCAAAGAATCCTAATGAAGATTCAGATTCGGAACCGGAATGCGAAATACTTATTTTTAGAAACTATATGCAAAAGGCTGCTCTTTTATCCATATCTAGAGAACCACAACTGTTGTTAGGTTTACCTAAAGAATGCTATTTTTGTATTAATATGTTATCTGAAACAACAAAATGTTCTCCGCGAAATATAATGATAACTTTAAAAAAAATACGCTTGTATCAACCTAATACTATTCTGGCCTTGGATTTTGGTTTGTCGACTAGTTCTGTTACTAAAATCATAAGAGTTACTGTTCCGGCTATAGCGTCTGTACTTAAATCACTTGTATACTTTCCACCTTCATCGGATGTCCAGATGAATCTACCTATTCCATTTAGAAAAAATTACAATCAGGTTCAAAGCATTATCGACTGTTTTGAGATTCAAATTGAAAAGCCTGTTGATGCCGTAAAGCAAGCACTTACGTGGTCGGATTACAAAAACTGTAACACAATAAAATATTTAATATCCATAACACCTGACGGGTTAATAAATTTTATTTCACCAGGGTATGGCGGAGGGTATGGAGTTTGTTGTTAAAACGAGTGACGTTACATAGAGTTTACACTGTACTTTTAAATTTATTTATTTGTATTAAAAGTATAAAATTTTGAGGCTACGTACGTTCCATTTTCCACCAATGTTTGTGTTATTTATAGAGTTTTAATAAAACTATATTACATTATGACAATATTATTTTATTAATTTGTCAAAAATATTTTCCTTCCAAAAATTTACACATTTTTCAAAAAGGTCATCACAATATTTTTTGTTATAAACTACTTCATGCACATCAACATTCCTTGAGGTTTCAAAGTCAACGTGTGCAATACAAAATAGGACTTTTCTTTTTCCGGTCATTTGCATTTGTGTTTGTATCTGAGCATAATATTTTTTACCTAGTTTACCTTTACTATAGTACGCATTAAAAGTGTTTGCATTGGTGGGACACTTTACTTTTATAACGCAGTCATCACTAAGCCCGTCAGGCGAAGCACCAATCATAGGCCATTCATTCTTTAAAAAAAGACCAGATTCCACTATCTTTATATTGTGTACCTTCGCGACTTCCTTAATGACATCCTATTCTAATATTTTTCCTCTTTTGATAGCATTCGTTTCATTAAAAGTTACAGCACCAAATATTTCTTCAACTAAAGAACCATCTTTTGTTGTACATTGAGCAGCTTCGTGCATTTTTGAAGCTGTTATACGTCCGTAGCGCATCTCAAACCACAAATTTGAATCTGATTGAGCTATTGTTCCCTCTTTTACTTGAAGACATCTTGATTCCGTCATTTCGTTCTTACAAAATGTTATAAAATTTTTGACGTCAAAATCAACACAGGATTTTTTGAAACGATTAATTAAATAATAAATAGACATCTTTTCAACTTCTTTTTTTTCGCATATAAATTGTGAAAGAGAACACTGTATTTGAAGCTCTCTAAGTTTTAATGCTACTTTGTCAAAAAAAATATTTTCATTCTGAGCGGCTAAATGAAGTATTATACCACTTGTACCAAAATCTTTAGCTTTAATCATTTTCAGTGTGGTACCAACACCTGAGAGCTTAGATTTTTTCCAATAACACTTGGTAGCAGTCGTTGAAGGCTCCTCACTTCGACGATGTAGCCACATTAAAAATGCTATAGTATGTTTACAGCCACCTTTGCTGGCGGCACAATCTTCGCAGGTTACATTTAATACTTCTTGATCCTTTTCATTGCATTCTAAACTGCAATGATAAGGTGTGGTACGTACGCGGTGTTCTGGCGTGATTCTACATTTAACCGTACATACATCACCTACTCTTTTTACTTGAACATAACCAATAGCATCATCGCCGTAGCTGTCTCTTGCTGATCTGAAATAAGTTTCAAATAAAAAAAAATAGCCTTAAGTATTTTGTTAGTAAAAAAATACAAATAAATGAAAAAGGTTTAGTACATCTGTTCAAACATCTACATTTGCAATAAAAATTAAATAAAATAAAATGGCCTTACGTATTTTGTTAGTAAAAAAAAACGTAAATAAAAAAAGGCTAAGTACATCTGTAACGTTCAACTATATCCTAGGTACCTATCCTACTACCTACTAATATTATAAATCCTGGGAAAATGTACATTTCCTGAGGAAAACGCGGGCAAAGCTGCTGGCGGAAGCTAGTTTGCAATAAATCAATGTATGTTTTTATTTGAATTTACTAAGAGCAGTACCTATACAGCGTGTTTGGTAATACCTGTATAATCCCGAAACATGGCCATACAACCTAGCACAAAGAACACAATTGATAGGTCAAAAAACAATTTCATGTAAATTGATATTTTCATACAAATATTTGAACAATTTGTTTTCAATTACTATGCTACAACCCTGTAAGCTTACACGTGCCGTCCCGGCGCACTCGCTCTTTCTCTCTCTCTCTCTCTCATTACCTCTCACTCTCTCGTTTCCTTGAATACATTTTGATGTTGCCGACGCGCGCACTCGACTACGTATGAGTTTACTTGTAATTAAAACAATTTAAGATTAAATAGGTACATACCTATAGCGTTCTAATCACTCTTTCAGCTTTCACTTGTCAACATTACCTACACTTCACCTCCACTTTATCAGTCCAGGGTCTCGATATGCCGGCCACCGCATAAAACACACATCTCCATTCGACTCGACACAGACCGTGTCGTGTTACTCTCGACGTAAAGTCATATCCTCTGTCTCGATGGAATAGGTGATCGGCCGGCCTACCTGTGGCACACTATGGAATGAACCAGTTGTATGTAACCAATTCACAAATGCCGCGAATCACCGGTAAGAAGGAAGACGTCGATGGTTTTCAGGTCTTCCTGACACGTGGCGCTCGTCATAACGCCGCCGAGCCGCAGCAAGATTACCGTCACAAGCACCGCCACACATTATCATCTCGTAATATTAGGCATTTGAGTACGAATTCATTGCACTGACCGCACACAAACATAATACACAGGTAAACAGAACGAGAATGAAAAACAAACCAAAAGTCCCGAAAGAACGAAAACGTAAGTTGACCTTCTAAATTCTGAAAACTCACAAGTACGCCGATGAAAGTCACGGACGCGACTGACGCGATGACCAAAACTACATAGGTTATTATTATTGCAACTCGAACACCAATGTACCTAAATCAAAAGTGTACCGATTTTGGGGTTCCGCGTCAAGAAATATTATTTATTATTAGACCTTTCCATTACAACTAACCTTTATTTAATTATCATTTAAACTAAGAATAAGAGAGATACTTAGATTATTAATATCATTGTATAAGTCCGTATTTTATTGTTTCGTGAAAATAACACGGCTTTATGAAAAAAATAACAAAACTTCAAAGCAAATAATCTACAGAACCTTACTGACACATCAGAAACCCGAGTTTCTCAATACACATCGTCGTCGATTTTATGTCTCTCTCGCTCCTTCTTGCATAGACTAATGTGAGCAATGGTGCAGATATTGAACTTCAATCAAAGTATTTGCAATTTCTTTTTTATTTTGACTGTATTATTACAGAAGTTTTCATATTAATAGTTTTTGAAACACCGTTAATCACAAGATTAGTGTTTTTTTATAGTTAAAAGTCATTTACTACTAACTTTTTCTTTGTTTGGAAATAATAAATTCCTCTCAGATGCATATTTATTCTAGGCATTTATCTTTAGATTTATTTAACTTCTGTTATTTTTTAAACTAGTTCGGCACATGGAGTCGATGACCAAATACAACACAACAGCTGTTTTTAGGGTTGTCAGCGTACAGTTTTACTTCGAAGAAAAAAAGCTGAATATCTAGGTCATGTGCTGGGTTTCAGTCTTAGTGATCATTTTTCTGGGTTCTATTCATCATACCGTATGTGCCATATTCGGGATTATACAGGTATTACCAAACACGCTGTATATACGTACCTACCTATAGCTACAAAACTATAATACATATTTGTGTTTAACGTAAAAATTTAATGGTAGGTAGGTATTTCTACTATTTGAGTAGCATTCTTCCATTATGACATTAGTTGCGTATTTTGTTTCGATAAAACAATTTCAAACAGATAAACTATTAAGCATAAGTGGTAGCAAGGAAAGTTTACTTACCTATGCATTTTTATTTCTCGCATTTCGGTGGCAACGAAATCACTATTTGTTGATAAATAATGCGCAACCATTAATCCATCTATTTTAGGTAGATTATCCGATTGCCCTTTTTCGAATCCTTCTTCCATTTTATTAATCGATTAATATTTAATATTATTAGACTATTAACTTAATACATGGGCAAAAACACAACAAAATACTGCGCAAGCTATTACACCTACTATAACCGCTGGCGACATCATACTAAGCGGGGCGCGGCGCGTTGTGACATGACGTCACAAGCGGTAACGTGGCTGTTAGCGGGACTCGATATTTTTCGAAACTTTGAATGCATATAAAATAAAAATTACTAGGTATTTTTGACTACAACAAAAACTAGTGTATTTGTATACATAAGGGCCTTACTGAGACAAAATTTCAAGCGATTTGGCATACCTAGTAACATTCTTCATTAAGTACCTATATTATTTAAAAAAGTTCTTCTTAACCTCTCTTTCATGATACTACCTATACAACCATGATTTGATCGATTCATGTTCACTTAAAATAAATCTTAAATTGTGATATAAGGTGGTAGAATTTTATAATTCTTTTTTAGGGTTCCGAACTGTCAAAAGGCGTTCTGTTAAAGGGTAAAAACATTACTAAGACTCCTCTGTTCGTCTGTCTGTCACCAGGCTCTCGTGGACCATGACAATAGACAGTTGAGTTTTTGCGAATACTAAAAACAGAATAAAATAAATATATGATTATAATCTTATGTATGGGAGCCCGATACAAGAAACGTGATTGAAACCGTTCGTACGCGAGTCGAACGAACACTTTGCCATATTCAATTTTCAATTAATTTTTACTTATTGTGTTCTTTGTTATCCCACAGGATAGCTGATTTACCCCCGAGGGAGGGTAATAATAATAATACCACATTTATAAAATGTTGGTATCTTATAATTAATATACGTTCTAATATTTTACTTGAAATAGCATGCAAATTGTTACAATGTCAATAATTACACAAACTAAGCCAAGCATTTAAAATAATAATAATATCAAAAAATAAACAATCTCTAAATTTAAATGATGTCGGCACATAAATACGTACTACATATGTCATCATTTGCAATTATATTTTTTAAATAATTCCTTAATTGTATAAAAATAATTTTCATTCAGCCATTAAAAACTCTTTTTTTAAGAAAACAAGTTAATTCCTTATCCAGTATTTCCAGTTATTCTGATGCACATTTCTAGACAACTTTTATTAAGTATATTTCGATGTTTTCGGTGTATTACTTGTAACTAATTTGTGTTTATCTCTTCGCACTCTAGAGTTATATACATGGTGTATCTGTATATAAGTATTTAATAGTTATGGCCACGATATGTAGTTCAAATAATCTTGTAACGGAGCTTAGATGATGGTATTCAAAAGAAACAGCTGTCTAGGCTTTACAAATATATCTATGGTAGAATAAAAAGCCCGTTTCTTGATTTTCCATTAAATACTTATATACAAGTCAATTCAAATCACAGCATAGAATTTTAATATTCCGTACTTTTAAAATATTAAATAAAATAATAATCGTGCTGCTTCCGGATTTTTTTTGTTACGAACATCCTGCGACATTCTGTGATTCACAACAATTTCACATTACGAAAAGCGAATAAAAACAAAAAGTTTGGATGCAGGAACCTAGGACAAAATAAACGGTATGGTACGACGCACCGTTACGATCTTATGGTACCTACAAAATTATAATATAATATTATCAAAAATAAACCTTAAGAAAAATGTCTTCCATATGAATTATGTAGGAAGTAGTTAGACGCGGGCAGTACAACAATATTTTAACCCCTTGTTAGGGCAGCGCCGTATTTTCTCATAATTTATGACCTCAGCACGACACTGCCTTTATTAGAAGATTTTGTTGTGTCTGGCACATATTTAAAATATAATATTAAAGCGAGCCAATTACTGAGCTCACTTGCTTTATTAGTTACTTAAGCAAGGTGTACGTTATCTTCTATAATAATGATGATTTATAAGCTCGATTATAATATTAGGTACATTGTTAAAGCATGAATAATAACAGTGAATAGATAAATAACAGCGGTGATGAAGAGATGAAATAGACATATCATATTAGCTACTTAATTCGGCTTTGCACAGATACACTTTGTGCAATGATTCCATATAAGCAATTATTAAATTTGATCAATTTTAATTCACAATGCTAAACTGAAAAATATAAAAAAAAAAACACTTTGTCCCTAGCACTCTGGGATAGTACTCGAACGCGTGACCTTTCGCAATCCGAGCGACTGCTCTCACCACTAAACTTTCCAGGACCTAACAGGACTGACGAATTTTTCAAGCACTGTTCAAAACTGGATTTATTATGAATTTTTCATTAAGAATATTAACTGTTATAATTGTTACAAGCCAATTTACAGAAAACTTTATTGATCTCAAGCAGTTAATGTTATTTAAAATGATGTCTAATTAAACAAGCCACGATAAAGACAATATTATACACCTAAAGGAGTTGAGTGTTATAATAACAAAAAATAGACATTTAGAACATATCTATGACTATTTTTTGTTTATATCAAAATAAATAACAGGATATGAAAAACTATGCATTTAATTCATTTTGGACATCATTTTTCAAAGTAACATTGACTGATTAGACTTGCACAATTGGTATAAAAACGTTTCGATACCCGTGCTGAAGACTAGTTTTTTTTATATTTAAATGAAGTTTTTCTTTTCACTAAAATCGATGACATGGCTAATAAGAACAGATAAATCGTCGTATGTCTTATACTTTCAGACTTTCCCATACTGGCCGTTCTTAATGTTACACTCTCTATAACATAGAGTATCGAAAAGACATGTCATATATTTTTACAACATTAACCAGGTCTCATCTAGAAACCACATACAGTCTGCCCCCACAAATTACAGCGGATCGGTAATGCTCCATGGTTGAACGCCGCCGCCGGACAGTTAGTGATGTCACACTTAACACGTCTTGATTCCAACTGT